CAGAACCTTTTGCTAGTTGCAAAACACAGTTGGCAAAGTGAGTTCAACAGAGGCGAGTCGTTGGTGCAATTGTGTAGTAGCAATTATAGTCATCGGGAAGAGCGTCACAGCTCTTGAAAATAACGGTTTGACATCTGCACTTTTTCATTTTTCGGCTTCTTTATGACACTTTAGGTACTCCTCGACTTATGACTATTTAGGGACCATTCGAAGTTACAACGGCACTGGAAAAAATAGACACAGACGTTTTTCACACTTACGACCGTTGCAGCATCCCCATGGTCACGTGATCAGTCCCTCGGCAACTGATCCGTATTTATGACGGCCACAGGGTCCTTGGGTCTCGCAATTCCCTTTTGCGATCCTGTGACAAGCCAAGTCAACAGGGAGGCCAGGTAGATTCACTGAACAGCCGTGTGACTCAACAACTGCAGGGATCCTTATAACAGGTGGGGCAAAAAGAAGTTGTAAAACGAGATGCAATTCACTGAACCATCCACTGCCCCACTTAGAAGTGGAAATTGTGGTCGCAAGTCGAGGATGACCTGCGATGTGTCTTCTGCGGTTCTCTCTGTCTTGAAGGAAGATTTTGGAAGATAGCAAGATGCTCTTTGAAGGGGAAGGGCCGGTCAGCAACATACGAACTTTGGCCCGAGCTGCGGAGACTTAGCCTAACCTTAACATCTCGATTGGCTATTCAGCAATTGGGGGGTGCAGTCAATCCTCGAATTACGACCACAGTTGAGCCCAAAATTTCTGTTGCTAAGCGAGACAGTTGTTAAGTGATTTTACCTCCTTTTCATGACCTTTCCTGCCACACATGTTACGCAAACCCCTGCAGTCGTTAAATTAGGAACACGGTTGTGAAAGTGAATCCACCTTCCTCCTTGGCTTTCGCATGGCAGAAGTTTGCTAAAGAGGGTCACGTGACCACAGGGACACTACGACCGTTGTAAATATGAGCCGAGTGTCCAAATTTTGATCCCATGGCCACGGAGATGGATGCTGCAGCAATCGTAAGCAAGCCCTTTTTTCAGTGCCGTTGTAACTTCGGACAAGGACTAGTTGTGTATCCTAGGTGATTTGATTCTAGGAATCTTTTTTTTTTTCATATAGTCTGCAAATCGGACTTTATTGAGCCTTGCAGATCTTAGAATTCTGTATTTCCCTCCACGTCGCTTGCTTCCCACTGAGTTTAGTTGCACTTACTTCTGATTAGCTTACACACTGTTTCTGCCACTCCTCCTTACATTGTTGGTTTTCCCCAGCAAATAATGCTGTTTGCTGTATCCACAGCAACCAGTTCCAGCACACCTCAGCAGTGCAGCTGGCCCGTCTTTTTATGCTTCCTTTGAGATCTGCTTCCTTGACCCTGCTGGGGTTCAAAGGCTTCTTTTCAACCCAGGTGACCCATTCAGATCACGGGAATCCCCCTGTCATAAACCACCTGCCGGTCTGGCTGATACTTATTTTAGCTACCGTTCTGTAACCAGGTTTTGCAGAATTGTCACCAGGAAGTTTTCTGGATGACACTTTGCCCATCCCCCTTTTGGGACCTGTGCATAAGGAAAAGTCTAATAAATATACATTTAGTCCTCCAGTTATAACCACAATTGGTCCCAAAATTTCAGTTGTTAAGCAAGCCAGTTTTTAAGTGAGTTTTAATCTATATGCTGGATTATAAATTCTATGCAAAATAAGCAACTTTACAGTGATATCATCTTTCCTGTTAAGACTTGGCAATATAAATAAATAGAATGTATTTGTACACAGTTAAGTTAAAGAACATCTATATGTTTTGTGTAGCTTGTCGATTCCTCCAAAACAGTGTTTCTCAAACTTGGCAATTTTTAACACAGGTGGACTTCAACTCCCTGTTGACTGGGGAATTCTGGGAGTTGAAGTCCACCCCTCTTAAAGTTGCCGAGTTTGAGACGCACTGCGTTATGATAACAAGGTAGACGTATAGTAAACAGTTTGGAAAAGATTGTAATCTTATCGGAAAGAAATTTTGCCAACAAAATTAATTTCAGGATGGTTTGGAATATTACAATTAGCAAATCAGCAGGTATCCCCCCAAAAGTGTGAAGAAAAACGGTCCTAAGGACTTCTAATGAGGAATTACGGGAAAGAGAATATGAGCTGACGTTTTCAGTAGGGATAATATTTTTCATTCCTCAAAGAAGTTTTTTTTTTTAAAAAAAAAAAAATTTAAAATTCAAAGCACAGTTTTTTGATCATTCAGCTTTTGCTGAATTGTGGATGTCTCAAACTGATGGAAATGTCTTTTGTATTGAGGACATTTCTGGGTTTTGCCATGATTTTACGGCATAGAAAGAGATTATTTCAGTTGCTTGCATAAAGTGTAGACTTAAGTTATATCTCCAGAACCTGGAATTACATTTTCTCCTCCGAGTGGGGTCCCTGGCGCTCTCTGAGCTGGGTGGTTTCCTTGCAGACATTTCATGACCCAACTAGGGAACATCATCAGTGCTGGAAGGGACATTTGCAGCAAACCTCTCTCCCTTTTAGCACTGATGATCTTATCTAGCCAGGTGAACTGAGCTGCTTACAGTATGATAAAATACGCAAATGATAAAATATTCTAAAACTAGATTAAAATTGCAAACAGTTCATACAAACTTAAAAACTCGTTGGTCGGAAATAAATAAGCATGCCATTTAACTTAGCAGGTCGTTAATTATCCTTAACGGGAACTCGAAAACCATTTCCCTTTTTTAAATAAACAACAACCTCTCCATCAGCAACCAACAGCACCTATGTAATGACAATGCTGGTTTAAAAGCTGGTTTTAATGATGGTTGAAAGGTATTCTTTGAAACTTGGTAATTTTGAGGCTCAGTAGTTTTGGGGGGAAAACTATAGTAACTTTCAACTGAACTTAGCTCAGGTAAGTTTTGCTGCTTTTTTGGCCTTCCTGCTATATAAGCATTTCATGACTTACCACTGCAATTGTTGCTAACCGTTTCTGTTGCTAAGCAAAACAGTTGTTAAGTGAATTTTGCCCCATTTTACGACCTTTCTTGCATAGCAATTACGTGAATCACTTCAGTTGTTAAGTGACTTTGCTTGTCAGAAGGTTGCAAAAGGGGATCATATGTGACCCTGGGATGCTGCAACCGTCATAAATAAGAGTCAGTTGACAGACGTCCAAATTGTGGTCCCGTGATTGGAGATGCTGCAACAGTCGAAAAACGATTGCAAGTCACTTTTTTCAGTGCCATTGTAACTTCAGATGGACACTAAAGAAATGGTTGTAAGTCGAGGACTACCTGTGTATATAACTGCTTTGCTTAGTGCAGGGCTTTTCAACCTTTTCACCCATTGTACCACTTTTAGGATATGGCAACATCCGAGTACCACCAGTTGCCTAGCAAGGTGTCAAAAACTTGATGGCCAAAAAAAAAAGGAAAAAAGTGATAAAATAACAGGTAGTCCTCAACTTACAACAGTTTGCTTAGTGACTGTTCGAAGTTACAATGGCACTGAAAAAAGTTCCCCTCAAGTCACAGCCGAGCAAGACACCTGCCTGCCCGCCCAGCCGCGCTCTTCCTCCTGTCCAAGGTTTTCATTGTTGTGAGCGTTTCTGTTGAGGATTGGCGTTGGGGGTGGGGGGTGTTTGGTTTTTATTCCCCCCGTCTGCTGGGTGGTTGCAGCAGGCTTTGGTCACTTCACATGACTCTGGGACACTGTGACCGTCATAAATATTGGTTGCCAAGCATCAGAATGTAAATCACAAGACCCTGGAGAGGCTGCAACAGTCCAGCTGATCGGCGTTTCTTCTGGGCTCAGCAGAAGCACCAGGATCAGTGCTGCTTTCCAGCTGATTGGTGCTTCTTCGGGGCTCAGCAGAAGCACCAGGATGAGTGCCGAGCTCCAGCTGGAGCCTGGCGCTGATCCTGGTGCTTCCACTGAGCCCTGACAGCCCCGAAGAAGTGCCGATCAGCTGGAAAGCTGCACTGATCCTGGCGCTTCCGCTGAGCCCTGCAGCTCCAGCCATCTTTCGCTCAGGCTCTTGTGGTGCTATCACTGGTTCAGCTCATTCCCCTCCCCCACTACCCCTTTTCTAGGATGGTCACGTACCACCTGTTAGGTGCCAATGTACCACAGGTGGTACCCGTACCACTGGTTGAAAAGCCCTGGCTTAGTGATGGGAGTTCCCAATTATAGTTGTAAATCAAGGACTGCCAGCATGAGAACACTGTTTTATTTTGCCAGATATTTCACTTTCCATACTTAGACATTACTGCTTTCTCTTAGTAAATCTAGAAGCTGAATTCTTGGGATTGCATTGGGATTCCGGAATGCGCAATCAGGAGAAAATTTTGCAAGACTTGTGCTGCAACTTGCTGTAACAAGGTTTACCCTATCAACGCATGTAAAAGGTTCCTGGAAAACGGCATTTCCAGACCCTCTTCCTCCTTGGAGGTGGCTAGCATCCATGATCCTCTCTCTACCTTAATTCACATTTCTGATAACAGAAGAAGACCCTCAAAATACTTTTGTTTTTTGTTTCGTTTTGTTGTGTTCTTTTTATATTAGGTTTTTATTGTTTGTAAGCCACCTGGAGTCCCTGAGAGTGAGTGGGCAGCCATATAAATCCCCTAAATAAATAAATAGTTTGGGAAAGAGAGGTGCTGCGCTGCTGGACTCTTGGTATGACCACACACACATGCTTGAAAATTGACAGTTTTGTTGGGAAAAACCAAGGATTTTCTGAGGAGAGATGCTAGAGCACTTTTTTTTTTTAAATGAGTGACACATACCAGGGCTGGAGAAATAGCTTGTACCACTAATGTTGACAATTTGTAAGTGAGCCACTGCCTGTCCTTGTTGCAAATTAGCATTCAGCACAAGTGAAAGTTGTTAAATTTGTAAAGCATGCGTGGGTTTTGTTTTCTGTTTTAAGTTTTCATGCTTTTTTTCTGTTTGTTTTTTTTCTCTCTCCCTCTTGCACGGTTTCATCTGGATCGCAACAGGGAAGAAGAAAATGAGGTAAATGCTAACTTACTCCAATTCTGTTTTGGGGTGTCTGGAAAGAAAGATTTGCCCATTAGAAGAGAAGTGGGGAGGGGAGTCAAAAGAGAGAAACCAGAGTGGCTTTTAACCCTTCCTTCCATGTTTCTCAAAAGGTGCTTCAGACAGGTAGTCCTTGACTTATGGCCACAATTAAGCCCAAAATTTCTGTTGCTAAGTGAAACATTTGTTAAGAGAATGTTGACCCATTTTACGTCTTTCCTTGCCACAGTTGCTAAGCGAATCACTGCAGTTCTTATGTCAGTAACACAGCTGTTAAGTGAATCTGGCTTATTTATTTATTTATGAGACTTATATACCGCTTTAAGTGCAAGCACTCTCTAAGCGGTGTGCACCAGTAAGCAATGTATATATATATATATTTACATTGCCCCCCAACAATCTGGGTCCTCATTTTACCTACCTCGGAAGGATGGAAGGCTGAGTCAACCTTGAGCCGGTGAGATTTGAACTGCTGACCTGCTGAACACAGTCAGCTAAAGTTGTGACTTTAAAGTTGTGACCTTCTGACAAGTCCCATTGACTTGTCAGAAGGTCACAAAAGGGGATCAGGGGACACTGCAACTGTCATAAATACGAGTTAGTTGGATTCTGGTCACGTGACCCTGGGGATGCTGCAACAATCATTAGTGTGAAAACCAGTTGTAAGTCATTTTTTTTCAGTGCCATTGTCACTTTGAACTGTTACTAAACCAGGAGTAGGCAACCTTGGCTCTTTTATGACTCGGGGACGTCAACTCCCAGAATTCCTGAGCTAGCCACGCTGAGGGGAAAGGGAGAGGTTTCCATGCTGAGCCAGGCTGGCTCAGGAATTCTGGGAATTGAAGTCCACGAGTCATGAGGGGGCCTAGGCCAGAGGTAGGCCATCTTGTCTCTTTTATGACTGGTGGACTTCAACTCCCAGAATTCGTGAGCCAGCCACGCTGAGGAGAAAGGGAGAGGTTTCCAAGCTGAGCCCAGGGCTCAGGAATTCTGGGAGTTGAAGTCCACGAGTCATAAAAGAGCCATGGTTGCCTAGCCCTGCACTAAACAAACTGTTGTACGTTGAGGACTACCTGTATTTGCCAAATTAGTATATAACATTAAAAGAAAATCACAGTTACGAAAATCTACTATCAGTCAACTAACTATTGGTTTGGGTCAGAGTCTTTTTTTTTTTTTTAATTCCTCCTTTTTGAAACCAAATAGCTCTAACTTGATCCCATTTTGCCTTGTAGGGCAAGAGTGAAAATGTCCAGAAACCCGGCTTTGTCAAAGGCCCGGCGGTCTTCAAGGGGGTGGCGTCCAGCCGTTTCCTACCCAAAGGCACCCGGACGAAAGTGAATCTGGAGGAACAAGGGAGACAGAAGGTCTCTTTCAGCTTCAGCCTCACCAAGAAGACGTTGCCAAACCGGTTTCTGGCTGCATTGGGGAACGAGAAGCCAAGTGAAGGCCCAAGCACGTCGCTCCCACCCCTCCCGAGTGACTTCACTTCTAAGGCAAAAGCAGAACTCAGCGATCCCTTGGGGGTCTCCGAGGAATTTTCCCCCCCAAAGCCAAAGGCGGAACTGGGCAAGATTCATTTCAAGAAACATTTGTTAAACGTTACCACAAAACCTTTCCCAGTTTCTGCAGTGCCTCCAGTCCCAGTAGCTCCACCACCACCTGCTGCAGTAGAATTGGGGGAGATGCCGTCATCCCCTCCTCCCCCTCCTCCCCCTCCCCCTATTCCTCTGCAGATAAAGCCAGCTCCCACACCAGTGCTGATTCCAATAAGTGCACCCCAAGTTGCAGCACCAGCCCCCATCACTCCTCTGCTGATACCCCTTGTGGAAACCGCCATCCGAACGACAAAAGAACCACCGCCCAATCCGGCACAGGAGACTTTGGAACTACAGAATGCCGTGGTAGGGGGTTCTGAAGCACCCCTGGCTCCTGGTGTTTCTGAGGATGTCGAGCCAGCATTGGTGAAAAGACATCCCTGCGTTGCGAAGGAAGAAGAAATGGCAGAAGTTTCCAAGGGTGCCCCAGGTTCAAAGAAACCAAGGAGAAAGTTCTCATTGTCAGAGGGGGTGTTGCCAGGTTCTGAATCCGATGAAGATTCGGTGAGGACCTCCTCAAGTCAGCGGTCCCACGAAATCAAGGCAGCAGCCAGCTCGGAGAAAGAAAAGGACTCGCGGAAAAGCTCTGCGGCTTCAAAAACGGAAGAGCCATCAAAGGTCTCTCTGCGATCTAGATCAGAAAGGGATGAAAAATATTCCAGCTATTCACGACCGGAAAGAGATTCGAGGTACTCCTCCCGGTCCAGATCAGATAGAGAGAGGAGGCGAAGCCGCTCCCGCTCCCGTCCTAGATCTGAAAGGGGCTCTAGAACCACCTCATCTTATTCTAGATCCGAGCGGTCCCATTACTACGATTCTGACCGGAGATACCACAGAAGCTCCCCATATAGAGAGAAGACACGGTATTCCCGCTCTTACCTGGACAGCCGGGTGAGAGAGAGTTCCGATTCGGAAGAAGAATACCGGAGGATGCATTCTAGATCGTCTACAGATTCACGGCATGCGTCTTCTCACTCCTCATCTTACAGAGATTCCAGGACCTCGTCCTCTTACTCAAAGTCGGAGAGGGAAAGCAGCAAGTCAGATTCTGCTTATCCCGATGTGGAGAGAAGAGGAAAACAGGCCAGGTTAGAAAGGGAAACACGAAGGATTTCTGAAAGCGAAATATCGAAAAGGTGCTCCCCTGTCAGCGAGCTGCGACATCGGCGGGACGCCTCCCATTCTAAAGCAGAAGGCAGCGGGAATACATCCCGATCCAAGCCCACCTCTTCCAAGTCATCTGCACCCAAGTCAGATAAATTTAAGAGTTCTTTCTGTTGTACAGAATCTGAGGACATCAAAGATCAGTCTAATTGTGTAGACTCGGAGGCTTCTAGCGTACCAGACTGTGAAACGAAAACCGCTCATTTGCAGAAGCCAGAAACTGCTTCTCCAGTAAGTCAGTTCAGTGACTGCCTGACATTCGGAAAGCTGGAGGAATCAAAAACAGGTTCTCCTCTTTCTAAGATGAATGAACTTGCAGGAATGGATAGCCATATCAGTATTGACCCGGGATCTTTAGGTAACATAAGAGGTGATCATTTAAGAACATCTTCTCCAGTAGAACTGGATACAAATGGGTCCCCGGAAAGGAGGACCCCGAAGAGGTTATCCTCTTCCTTTGAAGTAGAAGAGATTGACCTGTCTTCTGACGATAATTTAGATAGACCTGAGCTACCCCGTCAAGCCAAAAGTCCTAGACTGTCATCAGATGGTCTCCAAAACCTATCTCTACCCAAAAGACACAATCCAGACGAGTCTCTTATTTTTTCTGGTGAATCCAAACTTCAGCTGCTGGAAGAAAAAATTGAGGTTTCAAATCTTGCTTCATCTGAATATGTATCTTCTTTTACCAAGCAGGTCAGTCACTCTAAAATCTTGTCTAAGGAAGGGAGTGATCCAAGAGATCCCTCTTGTAAAACCAAAGATCCCACCCCGTGCTACTTGCCAGAGGACGCCTCTGTTTCTTTGTGTTATTCAGAAATTGAAATTGAAGTGGAGCCTTCAGACACAGAAGCTACTCAAGAACCTCCTGCGGGCGTTCACGCGGAGATCCCCATTCAATCCTTCACGTCAACTGACATAGAGGATCAAAATCCATCCGGGTTGGCTCAGGAAAATGAGAAATACACAGGTTTCAGTTCAGTGGAGCCTACACCAGTCAGAGGTTTTAGAGCAGAAGAATATTTTGTGGAAGTAGACAATCAGCACGTTGCACAGCAACAACCAGCTTCTGAAAATATGCTCCATCTTGAGACTCCCATCCAACAGAAGGCTAAAGAAGTCTTAATGTGTCCTGAAGTTGCCCTGGAATTAGATATCCTGCCTGCAGAGTCCATTGTCCAAAAAGTGAAATCTCCTTTGAAGAATGAGCATTGCTATTATTTAGAGATGCCAGTGAAGGAACCAGAGAAGGAGGAACTTGAGGAGAAAGATGCAGTTGTCTTTGATGAAGGGACGGCGTCCGACATGGATGAACCAGCTCCTGGAGTTTTGGTGATGAAAGACAAAGAAGACTCTCTGATAGAATCCGCCTTTTCAGATATATTGTCCCCTTCTTGTCATATCGTTGTCACCGTAGAAGAAACCGAAACCATAGAAGAAGAGCCCAGATACGGTAGCGGCAGCAATACTCCAGAAATCTCTTCTGTCCACAATGAAGATTATTCCGATACGGCCGAAAGCGCAAGCGAGCATCCGAGCGACGAGAGCGAGAGCGAGGGCTCCGATTCGGATGATAGCAGCGTTCCGAGGAACCGCCTTCAATCTGTGGTGGTCATTCCAAAGAATTCCACCCTGACCCTGGAAGAGAGCAGCTCGTGTTCTTCACGCAACAGCCAAAGTAACCGACGTTACTTGGATCACTGGGAAGACAGCCGGCCCGAGTCCACCAAGCCGTTCTCGGAAGACATGCCCGATAGTTTGGAAATGAACAACAACCTGCCAAATGAAATCAGAGCTTTGCCTTCTAGAGAGACAGAGAGAAGCTTAGCAACGTCGACAGAGCTCAAGAGAACCGAGGGGCCGGCGGGTCTTCAGCCACAGGCCTCCCAAGCTCAGAGTGACGATGTCGACAGCACCAGCCACTCCGAGCCAGCCCCTGATGCTTTCCATAAGCCGGACGAGAGAATCGTCTATAGCGAGACAACTGCGGTCACTCGGTCAGTCGGCGTGTCCCAAGGAGAAGACCTGCACTACCTTTCCAGTTTTGAAATGACCAACACGATGTCCAGGTCGCAGGCCGGCGTTTCCAAGTCGGACCGTAGGCAGGGAAGGTCTGCATTTGCGGGTCTCTCCCATCCTGCCGATTTCTCGCGGGAGGATGGCTTTCATTCGACGGAGGACTTGGGGAGTTTGGGGTGGGATTTCTCCCAACCCGAGAAGCCCAGCAGCACATACCAACAACCTGATAGTAGCTATGGAGTTTTCCCAGGTTATGTTTACCCCCCACCGCCAGGCCCGTATATGGGGTCTCACGGTTATTGGCCTGACAGTGGCTACTGGGATCCAAGGCTGACCAACCGGCCTTCTGCAATTAGTTACGAGCGTATGCAAGGACAGGTCCCTGATTCGCTCACCGAGGATCATGAGGAGTACGAAGAAGTGGACCGATGGGTGGACGAAAGCCAACTCTATTTCCCTGACCAGTCGGTGAAGTTCCAGTCACGGGACCCCAGGGAAAAGGGGTCAGTGCAGGCCCACGAGATCAGCAGCAACTCGGCCAAAGACTTCCCAACGACTTCCCGAGAGAGAAAAGAACAAGAGGCAAAGGCGATGGAAAGAAGTGACATGAAAGAACGGGGGCCGCTAAAGAAAAGGTTAACTGACTTGGGGAGCGATTCGGAGAGCGACGGGGGCTCCCAGGAAAGGAAGAAAATCAAAACAGAGAGTGAGCCGTTGCCCATCCTGCCTCAGGGTTCCCCGACGGATCATCCGTTGTGTTTCATGGAAGACTTCCGGGACCCCCAGCGTTGGAAGGAATGTGCCAGGGAAGGGAAGATGCCCTGCTACTTCGACCTCATTGAAGAAAATGTGTATTTGACAGAAAGGTAATGTTATTTATTTGCGTCCCATCTTTATTAATTCTTCACGTAACTCAAGACGGCAAACTTATCTGCAACAACTTTCTTGTCGTATTTTAACAACCCTGTGAAATGGGTTAGGCTGAGAAATAGCACTTAATCCCAAGTTACCTGTCATGTTTTGTGCCTAAGGTGAAACTAGTACTCCTCATCACCTGGTGATTGGCCCAAAGTCACCCAGCCGGCTTTTATGCCTAAGGCGGGACTGGAACTCACTGTCTCCTGGTGATTGGCCCGTCACCCAGCTGGTTTTCATGCTAAGGCGGGACTAGAACTCACCGTCTCCTGGTGATTGGCCCAGAGTCACCCAGCTATTTTTTGTGCCTTAATACAGAAGTAGAACTCACTGTCTCACAGTGATTGGCCCAATCTCCTATCCAGCTTTCATGCCTAAGGAAGGACTAGAATTCCCCATCTCCTGGTGATTGGCCCAAAGTCACCCAGCCGGCTTTCATGGCTTAGGTGGGACTAGAACTCGTCGTCTCCTGATTTATTGCTAAAAATCTATCCACTGGTATCTTCTCAATTACTGGGTAGCGCCTGCTAAGAGTTAGATAAGGGTCAACAGAATTCAAGGAGAATTGAACTTAGCTCACTTGTGGGTTTGTAAATTTTCCAGGTTGATGTCCCTTTTCACTTCGCCCTCCTCAATTCCGCCACTCTCTCTTGCAAGGGGCATGAAATTCCAAACGTTGGGGACCTGGGCAGAAAAAGGCTTTCCTGCAGGATCCCGCCAGCGGGAATTCCTTGCCTGACAGGATCCTGAGCATACGAGGGGGAGGGGCAGGATTTTCGCTGGAAATCTTCTTTGTATTAATGAAATTAATTAATGAAATCAATTAAATAATGAAAAATGAGTAGTTAGAGCTAGGCTAACAGAATAAGAAAAAGGGGAAAATACACAGTCTTCTGCTCCAGGAGCGAAAAAAAAAATGCTTCTTAGAGCAAAGAGACTAAATCTAAAATGGGTGCAGTTGGCACAGAGGGGGCGGTACTAAATGTTGTGCCTAAGATTAAGAACAGGGTGGATCGTTACGATTCCTCCCTGTACTTTTGAAGAGCTGGAAGGGTGCACTGTTCATATCCATTAAGGAAAAAATGCTTTGGATCGGGTGTGAATTTACTTAGCAGGTGCAATCCAGTAACAGCTCATTAAAGTAGCTACATCTTTTTCTTTCTTCATGTGGCTGCAGAAATCGGATTGGGTGTGAAGTTTACTTCTGTGTGTGGAGGCTGGTTAAGAGTACTTACATCTTTTTTTGTGGGTTTATGTGGCTGCAGAATTGGGATCGGGTACGAATTTAATCATAGTGCCTGATAACTCATTAAAGCAGCTACATCTTTTATGTGGGTTCACGTGGCTGCAGAATTCAACCTGCAGTGGATAGGTTAGGAAGGCCAGTACAACTGACAGCTGTGACTTCGCATAGTTGCGAACATAAAGCAGCGGTATGTCCACCGAACACAGTTTTAAATAATGAACTTAACGGAGGTTCTGTTTCGCCTTTAACATAAGACACCAAAGTTATGAGAGAGCAAAATAATTGGGTCAGGCTTGTTTATCTTGTTCAAAAGAAAAATTTTCCTAATTTTTTTTTGTCAATGTAACACGATTTCCTTAGAAAAAAGAACAAGTCGCACCGGGACATCAAACGGATGCTGTGTGAATGTCCAACTGTTTCCAAAGAAGAAATAGCCCAGGGAGAGGTGGCGTGCGGGGAGGATTGTCTGAACCGTTTGCTGATGATCGAATGGTAAACCCTGTTTTGCCATCCTTTTCAACGCCGTGCAAGGAGAAAAACACCACCAAGCGGAATCCGTTCGTTGATGGTTAAAAGTTGCACATACCCAGCGTTTTTATTTTAACAATAGACATTGGTGGATGAGGAACATATGAGTTCCCCCCCTCCTTTTTTTCCCCTTTGCTAGGAGTCATGAGGTTTTGTTTTGCCCAGAACAAATGTATAGGCAGTCCTCGACGTACGACAGTTCATTTAGTGACCGTTCAAAATTACAACGGCACTGAAAAATGTTACTTCCTGACCATTTTTCTCACCACCATAGCAGCATCCCCATGGTCATGCGATCAGAATTCAGACACTTGGCAACTGACTCATATTTATGGCGGTCGCAGTGTCCAGGGTCACTGATCCCCTTTTGCGACAACAAATGTCTCGTTTACTAGCAGAATCTTTGAGTTCAGTTGTGGTTGTAAGTCAAGGACTACCTGTGGTGGATAGATAACTTGCATCTTAACAGGTATCCTAAACTTTCAACTGTCATTGAGCCCAAAACTATGATCCTAAGTAATGCTGGCCATTACTTAGATAACCATATGCCCATGATTGATTTTATAAACTTTGTTTTTTTGGGTGGAGGTCAAGGTTGTTAACAAATACTTTAACCACAATGTGTGTGGTTTTGGGTTTTGTTTTGTTTTTTTGTTTTTTTGCCAAAAATGAGAAGTAAATACTAGTTTTTAGCAATAAAATAAAATAAAAAAACGTGAATCATAGCCTTGCTGCGAACAGCTATAAACGTGGTCTAATTGTTGAGTGCCCTAAATGCAGTCACGTGACCAGTAGGAGGAGAGGTGTCAAAGTTTCAAATGAGGGCCATAAGCAGACCTGGGGAGGTCTGTCACTAAGGAACTAAGTCGAGGACTACCTGTATTGATAGGATTTAAACCTATTCCCCAATTTTCATTTGTTTCTTGCCTTCCTGCCTCTCCCACTTCCTAGAAGTAGGATCTCACTGCTGAGAGTGTCAAAATAGAGGCCAGTCTTCTCTCTGTAGGGATGATGTTCCACAGGGAAGGAGCCGCCACGAAGAAGGCCCTTCTGGGTCCCACCAGATGGATCTCCTTAAGAGGGGGGGACCCATAGCATCTCTTGCCTCCCTGTTCAGTTGGGTTGGGTAGATAGACCGGGAATTTACAGGCCTGAGAGAGATTCTGATATGGATCCAATGTGCTTGTCAACCTCCTCTCTGTTGTGCTCAGTTCCTCAAGGTGTCCCAACGGAGAGCATTGTTCGAATCGGCGGTTTCAGAGGAAGCAACACGCAGACGTGGAAGTCATTTTGACGGAGAAGAAAGGCTGGGGGCTCAGAGCGGCCAAGGACCTCCCTTCGTAAGACTTCACCAACTGCGCTCCGTTTTGAGAAGAAGAGAAATTGTGCAAAAAGGAAGCAGTCCCAGTTCTGTGGGCCTGGGGTGGATTCTCAGCCACACTTCTGTCTTCCTGATTCTATCAGTCATGGTTTTTTTAAATGTTTTTTGTTGGTGTTTTGTACCGTGCCTTTCATTTATCAATAACCCAAAGCAGTAAATATACCCAATCTTCCTCCCCCCTCCTATTTTCCCCTCAACAACAACCCTGTGAGGTGGAGTGGGACTGGCCCAAAGTCACCCGACTGGCTTTCAAGCCTAAGATGGGACTAGAATTCACAGTTCCCTGGTGATTTAAGTCAGATTTACCCAATTGACTTAGCTGTCTAAGGCAAGACTAGAACTCATCGTCTCTGGGTGATGGGCCCAAAGTCACCCAGCCGGCTTTTATGCCTAATGCGGGACTAGAACTCACCGTCTCCTGGTGATTGGCCCAAAATCAGCCAGCCAGCTTTTATGCCTAAGGCGGGACTAGAAATCACCGTCCCCTGGTGATTGATTCGGAGTTACCCAATTGTCTTAGATGTCTAAGGCAAGACTAGAACTCACTGTCACCTGGTGATTGGCCCAAAGTCATCCAGATGGCTTTCATGCCTCAAGTGAGACTAGAACTCACCACCCCTTGCTACCTTAAATCACTAAATCAGATGGGGAGAAGACACCATCTGAGGCTCTTCCCCAATTAGTAAATCTGGAAGTTAACAAGATTTAAAATGAAACACCTTCAAACCCACTTTTCCTCCTCCTCCTCCTCCTGTCTTTCTCTTAAGAAGGAACATAGATGCAGACAGTCCTTGAGTTACAACCATTCATTTAACCATGATTCGAAGTAACAACGCAACTGAAAATGGTGACCTAGGACTGCTTTTCACGTTTATGACTTACTTATGATCACGTAATCGACATTAAGACAACTTGGCAACTGACTCGTGTTTATGACGGTTGCGTTGCCTCGGCATCACGTGATCCCCTTTTGCGACCTTCAGACAAGAAAAGTCAATGGGGAAGCGGATTTGCTTAAGAACCATGTCAGTAACTTAATAACTATTGATTCACTTAACAATGATGGCAAAAAAAGTCATAAAATAGCCCAAAACTCTCTTCACAACTGCCTCGCTTAGCAACAAAAAGGTTGGGCTTATTGTAGTTGTAAGGCGAGGACTATGGAGCTGTGATTCACTTGGAGGCAGGAAATTTGTCTGGAGGCGCCACCGCCTGCCCCTGGATTCAGTTGTTGGTGAGAGCCCAGGTGCTTTGAAGAGAAGATAATCTGTACACAATGATACAGTTAAAATGAAATTCTGATGCCCTTCTCGAAAGAGATAGATAAAGAATCAGGTACCGCTGTGTCTTAGATTTGTGTGCCTTTTTTGCCCTCTTTTTAATCTTCCTTTCGGTTTGCTTAGTAACACCTTTGTCCTGGAGTACTGTGGAGAAGTCCTGGATCACAAAGAATTCAAAACTCGAGTGAAGGAATACGCCCGAAACAAGAACATCCATTATTACTTCATGGCCTTGAAAAATGATGAAGTGAGTGTCAATGTTTGTGGTAAAAAATATTAAGGATTGCAGCCGATGCTGTGGCTGGGAGCAGTGAGTGAAAGATGGTGTTTAAACAGCGTTTAAATTAAACCTGGGTGGGATAGGGTTGCGGGTAAATTCTCCCCTCTTTTCACATGACTTCTAAATGCAGTGAATATTTGTAACAATATTGTGCTGCGCTAATTGAAAGACTAATAATTACTTAGAGGATGTTCCAGGAGATTCTAATTAAATGTTTGTGCGTGTTAACGTGGATAACTTGCTGTAAGTTGTTCTCAACTTACGACCGTTTGTTTAGCGACTGTTCAAAGTCACAACCACTCTTGTCTATTTGTTTTACTTTAATTTGATACAAAAGCGGCTTAACGGTCGTTTGAAGTTACAACAGCTCTGGGAAAAAGTGAAATACGAGCAGTCCTCACACTTACAACCACCTCTGCATTCACACGAACACACAGTCAAAATTCAGGTGCTTGGCAACTGGCTCGTATTTATGACAGTCGCAGGATCCCCACGGTCAGGTCAAGATTCAGGCACTTGGCACCCGGCATGTACTTAACAACGGTTGCAGCATCTGTGGGTCACATGCTTGCCATTTGTGACCCCCCCCCAGCCGGCTTCCGAATATTAAATCCAGGAGAAGCCGGATTCACTTAGCGACTAAATAATAATAATAATAATAATGATAAAGTTGGAAGAGACCTTGGAGGTCATCTAGTCCAACCCCCTGCTCAGGCAGGAAACCCTATACCATTTTGGACAAATGGCTGTCCAGTTTCTTCTTATAAACTTCCAGTGTTGGAGCATTCACCGCTTCTGGAGGCAGGTAGTTCCACTGGCTAATTATTCTCACTGTCAGGAAGTTTCTCCTTAGTTCCAGGTTGCTTCTGTCCTTGATTAGTTTCCACCCGTTGCTTCTTGTCCTGCCTTCAGGCGCTTTGGAGAATAGCTTGACTCCCTCTTCTTTGGGGCAGCCCCTGAGATATTAGAATACTGCTATCCTGTCCCCCCTCATCCTTCTCTTCGTTAAACTAGACATACCCAATTCCAGCAGCCTTTCCTTATATGCTTTAGCCTCCAATCCCCTAATCATCTTTGTTGCTCTTCTCTGTACTCTTTCCAGAGTCTCAGCATCTTTTTTACATCATGGTGACCAAAACTGGATGCAGTATTCCAAGTGTGGCCTTACCAAGGCATTGAAGAGTGGTATTAATACTTCACGTGATCTTGATTCTATCCCTTTGTTAATGCAGCCTAGCACTGTGTTGGCTTTTTTGGCAGCTGCAGCACACGGCTGGCTCAATTCAAGGGATTGTCCACTAGGACTCCGAGGTCCCTCTCACAGTTACTACTATTGAGCAAGGTACCCCCTATACTATACCTGTGCATGTGGTTTTTCTTGCCTAAATGTAGAACTTTACTATTTTCACCATTGAATTTCATTTTGTTAAATAGCGCCCAGTGTTCAAGTCTGTCCAGGTCCTCCTGCATCCTAAGCCTGTCTTCTGGAGTGTTGGCTGTTCCTGCCAGTTTGGTGTCGTCTGCAAATTTGATGATTTCCCCTTCTACCCCCTTGTCCAAATCGTTGATGAAGATGTTGAAGAGCACTGGGCCCAGAACAGAGCCCTGGGGCACCCCACTACACACTTCCCTCCATGTAGATGCAGCAGTTCCATTGAGGACCAAATGACTCCCTTAACTGCAGTGATTTGCTTAACAGCCAGAAATGTCATAAAAATCAGACATGACTCACTTAACCACCGCCTTGGTTAACAGTGGAAATTCTAGTCCCAATTATGGTAGTAAATCAAGGATTATATTTATAGAGAATCTCTGGGCAGTAGTTGCTGTTTTTTACAATGGAACCGGCATAGCTTACGTACACTTGTGTGTGTTTTTGTATCTTTTCATTTTTTTAAAAATCCAAGTCAGGGTCTCTCTCTTTCTGTCTCTTGTCTCTCTCTGTCAGAACCCCTATGCATTTTGCCTTTCTTTCCTATCCTTTCATTTTTCGGGTTCTGCCATTCTAATGGGGGTGAGGGGGACCTATGGGTCTTCTGCAGTGTAATTCCTTTGCTTTGCAATTATCCTTTTTGAGGTATCTTTCTTGGCATGAGAATGGAATATGCCTCCAGCCATCTCTGCCTTATCTCCAGGCAGAGGGAAGACACCACAGAGAAACTTGGCAGCCTTGAGAATGGCACTTTATCAGTTCTTTCTCACAACAATTTGACACCTATGGATTGGCTCAGTTTGAACCAGCTGGATGGGCACTTGGGGTAGGGTTTGAATGGGTTTCTTTTAATCTTAACATTTTCTCGCAGGAAATCTTTTGAAAGCAGAATAGAATAGAATAAAGCTGGAAGGGACCTTGGAGGTCTTCTAGTCCAGCACCCCCTCCCCCCCTTAAGCAGCAGAACCTACGCCGTCTCAGACAGGTGAATGTCCAGTCTCTTCTTAAAAATCTCCAGTGATGGAGCGCCCACAATGTCTGGAGGTAAGCTGTTCCACTGCTTAATTGTCCTCACTGTTAGGAAGTTTCTCTTTAATTGCAGGTTGCTTCTCTCTTTGATCAGTTTCCAACCATTGTTACTCCTCCTGCCATCTGGTGCTTTGGAGAATAGTTTGACCCCCCTCTTCTTTTTGGCAGCTCCTCAGATACTGGAATAACTAATATCATGTCTCCCCTGTTTCTTCTTTTCTTTAGACTAGCCAAGCCCAAGTCCCGCAGCTGTTCTTCGTATGTTTTGGTCTCCAGGCCTTTGAGTATTTCAGTTGCTCTTCTCTGAACTTTTTCCAAGGTTCCAACGTCTTTTTTGTAGTCTGGTGACCAAAATTGGTTGCAGTATTCCAGGTGTCTTATTGTTTTGCGTGATGTTGATTCTATGCCTCTGTTTATACAACCCAGGATTGTATTAGCTTTTTGGGCTGCTGCTACACACTGCTGGCTCACAGTCAAGTGATCGTCCACTCAGACTCCAAGGTCCCTCTCACTGTTTTTGAGCCTAACCTGTACTTGTACCTTTGATTTTTTCCTGCCTAAACGTAAAATTTTGCTTTTCTCCACATTAAAACTCATTTTGTTGGATAGGGCCCATTGATCTTTTTGGATCCTGAGTTTGTCTTCTGGGGTGTTGGATACTCCTGCCAGTTTGGTATCATCTGCAAATTTGATGAGCTTCCCTTCTAGCTTACTCAGATCCTGCCTTACTATCCTGTTGTCAATACCTTCCAATAAAAGTTCCTGTTGAGACAATGCAAGTTTCAAGAGTTCTGCTTTCTTGGGAGGCTTAACTGAGGTAGGTTCCCCCTCCCCCTTAAAAGAGGTATTAGTAGTCCTTGTTTAACCACAGTAATTTGGAGATAACTCACTAGTAAGCATGTGGCCATAATACTGACTCATGACAGGGGTTCCATGACTTCCAGTTGCCGCTGTTAAACAAAACCTGCATGGTTGTTAAGTGAGGACATCTCGTGACTGCCACTTGCAATTTCCCACTGGCTTCCCCACTGACTTTGCTTGAAGGAAACCAGCAGGAAAGACCACAAATCAGCCATCAGCCAGTCACACTTCTTTAGCAGCAATGTAACTTTGAACGGTCGCAGAACAAGTGGTTGTTAAATGAGGACTAGCTCTGCAGCGGTTTCCTTTCCCTTTTCAGATAATCGACGCCACACAAAAAGGAAATTGCTCTCGTTTCATGAACCACAGCTGCGAGCCAAATTGTGAGACACAGAAGGTGAGTCGTGGAACGATAACGTTGGCACAACTTTTGCTTTCCTCCCGCGGGCTGACAATTTGAAGAGAAGTATTTTTAAATTAAAGTCGAGAGGGCAAATTATACAACCTGGGTTTTAAGTTCCGTTGGCTGTGTGTCCTCCTGTTCCCCCTTTTGTGTTGGCAATTCCTCAGCTGTGTAAATGTTTGTGTAAACATATATCTTTTGGCAGTCTGAAACCCAAGTATTTCAAAGCAGCCGTGATTTACAGCACATTTAAAAATTAAGATGCTGCCCATTATAAAGTTCCAGTTTAATCCTGTTGTCCTCTTTTGTCCTCCACCCTCCTGATTTTAGTGGACAGTGAATGGACAGCTGAGGGTTGGCTTTTTCACCACCAAGCTAGTAACTTCTGGCTCTGAGCTCACCTTCGACTACCAGTTCCAGCGATATGGGTAGGTGCTCCTTCCTTGCTTTAATCACATTTCTTTGCTATTTCTCTTCTGAGTAGGAAGAACTATAGTATTTTGCAGGTTATCTTCTTGGAAATATTCCATTATTCTTGCAGAGAAGAAATTGAACTCTGCAATATATTTGAGAGTGCAGCTGATTAGTTTGGAGAATTCAGTCTTTCCATCTTCTTGTTAAATATCTTTTTGATTGAAGGAGGGAGGGAAGGAAAGAAAGGGAGGGAGGTAGAGAAAGAAGGAAGGGAGAGAAGAAAGGAGACTGAAGGAAGGAAGGAAACAAGGAAGGAAGATGGAAGGGAGGGAAAAGAGGAAGGAGGGAGGGAGGAAAACGAAGTCATTTGTCTTAAAATCAGAGTAGCTCATGGTAGATAGGATGACTATCTTGAATGTGAGAATAAGAAACCTGCTTGGTACATGGTGTTGTCTAGATGATACAGAAGATGTTTTAATTCTGGGTTGATTAGCATTAGTTCTTTGATAGAGATGGATGATAGAGAAATACGAGAGAGAGAGAGAGAGAGGTAGGTAGGTAGGTAGGTAGATATAGGTAGATGAGATAGACAGACTGACAGACAGAGATATACATATGTATGGGTTGGATGGATGGATGGATAAAGTGACAGACAGGAGATAGAGATAAGAGAGACATGGTTAGATGAAATACCATGTTTCCCCGAAAGTAAAACCTGCCCCGAAAATAAGTCCTAACTTGATTTTTGGGAATGGGCCTAATATAAGCCGTGCCCCAAAAATAAGCTCTAGTTTTGGGGCGAGGCACACGCCTAAAGATCAAGCTAGGGCGGTGACTAGGGAAGTGGAGCTGCCCCACGCGCCCCACACCCATTTACCAGGCCTCACATGAATCGACACACCTGCCCCACCTCGCCGGCCCACTTTTTCTGCGGCCGAAGGAGCAGCTTCATTCTGCAGCTGTGCATGGAGCTCCGGCCTGCATTTCGCCCTCAGAGGCCTTTCCGGAAGGCCTGTGCAGCTGAGAACCGAGCTATACCTTTCCTGCGAAATGCAGGCCGGAGCTCCATGCACAGCCGCAGAGGCATTTCCTTCGGCCACAGAAGAAGTGTGCTGATTGATTGCGAGCTGGGATGGATGGATAGATGATGTAGGACGGGCGGACGGATAGATGATATAAGAGAGAGAGAGGGAGGGAGGGATGATAGATGAGGATAGGAATGTAGGACGGGTCTTACAGACAGGCAGATGATATAGGTAGATGGACAGATAGACACAGAAAGACAGACAAATGGATCATAGATACAGACAGACAGGCATACATGATGGAGAAGTAGAAAGATAGAAAGATGAGATGAAGCCTGTTTCAGTCCCTCACCGAATGTGTGTTTCCAACAGCAAAGAAGCCCAGAAATGTTTCTGTGGTTCCGCCAACTGTCGGGGTTATCTGGGTGGAGAGAACCGGGTCAGCATTCGCGCCGCGGGAGGCAAAATGAAAAAGGAACGGTCGCGTAAAAAAGATTCGGTAAGCACTGAAGGAGTGGGGGAGGGCGATTTTTAAAGAAACGGACTGCTTGGCGGATTCCTTTGGATGCCCCTGGATCTCCCACAGTCCCCCAAAGCTATGAAGGGCTGGGCAGATGCTCCAGATCAACAAACCAGCATCCTTGTCACTCTCCTTGGCCCAAGAGAGAGACTGAGGCGGCTTTGGAGTCCTTGTGTGCTGCCCTCCAAGTGTGTGAGAGCCCTAAAGCCTAATTGTCACATTGTGATATTGTAGACACACCGGTTCACTGTGATGCTTTCTCCCATGCTCTTCCTCATGTAAGTGTAGATCTGTATTTTTGTTGCCACTTCTACAAAAAAACAATGTTTTGCAACTTTAAACCAGTGGTTCTCAAACGTTCACTTTAAGAAGTGTGGACTTCTCCCAGAATCCCCTAGCCAATATGCTTTAATAGGGAAGGGCTTCAATTCCCAGAATCCCCCAGCTGGCCTGCTTTAAGGGGGGGGACTTCCACTCCCAGAATCCCCCAGCCAGCCATGCTTTAAGGGGGGGGACTTCCACTCCCAGAATCCCCTAGCCAGCCTGCTTTAAGGGGGGGGACTTCCACTCCCAGAATCCCCCACCGGCCTGCTTTAAGGGGGGGGGACTTCCACTCCCAGAATCCCCCAGCCGGCCTGCTTTAAGAAGGGAGGACTTCCACTCCCAGAATCCCCCAGCCAGCCATGCTTTAAGAGGGGGGGACTTCCACTCCCAGAATCCCCCAGCCGGCCATGCTTTAAAGGGGGGGGACTTCCACTCCCAGAATCCCCCAGCCGGCCTGCTTTAAGGGGGGGGGGCTTCAATTCCTCTTCCTCCTCTGTGCACTGATTACCTTGTTGGCTCATGAAACATGCAAGAAAAACAAGCTTAGAGAGGCACCAGCCCCCCCCCCCCCCCAGCTCAGCCTGAGACGGGAGGGTTCTGTGGCTGTGTGCCTCTTCTAGAATCTGTTCTTTGGCTTTTCATAGGTGGATGGAGAATTAGAAGCTCTCCTAGAGAACGGCGAAGGGCTCTCAGATAAGAACCAAGTCCTCAGCTTGTCCCGTCTGATGGTGCGAACCGAGACACCTGAACAAAAGCTCACCTGTCTCAAACTCATCCAGGTGAGACAATCTGTCCTGTCTTTTGCTGGGTGACTTGGTCACTAATCCAGAGGTGCTAATTGGAGGTTTGGAGACAAGGAGAAATAATGTTATTTTTAATGGCCTGGGGGTTATTGATGTAGGAAATTTGAGATTCTCATTCTTTATTTAAAACGGGCGAGAGATTTCAGCGAAAGTGAACTAGATGCTGTCCTTCTTCTTTTTGAAACCAATCAGTAAATTTTTACCCGAGTTCTTTAGAACAGGGTTTCTCAACCTTGACCCCTTGAAGATGGATGGACTTCAACCCCCACAGTTCCCCAGCCGGCATGCTTTCAGAGGGCTGGGCTTCAGCTCAGTTTGGTTGCTGGGGAATTCTGGGAGCTGAAGTCCACATATCTTCAAGGGGCCACGGTTAAGAAACGCTGAATTTAGAACAAATTCTTATCTGACCGAATGGAGAATTCTATGAGGAAGAAGCACGAAAAAAATTGGCCCTTCGTATTACAGGTAGCCCTTGACCTACAATGGTTTGTTCATAATTACAACAGCACTAAAAAAGTGACGTGACCATTTTTCACACTTGCAACCATTGCAGCATCCCCTCAGTCAAGGGATCAAAAGTCAGATGCTTGGCCACCTGGCTTGTATTTATGACGTGTCTTCAAGGGGAAACCCAGATTCGTTTAACAACAGTGTTACTAATTTGACAACTGCAGTGATTCACTTAACAGCTGTGGCAAGGAAGTTCATATAAAACGGCCGAATTTACTTAACAGATTTCTCACTTAGTAACATAAATTTTGGGTTTCATTGTGGTCATAAGCCGAGGACTTTGCGATAGGGCTTAGATCAAAGCCCCTGGATTTTATGCCAAACTGCAAATTCTGCCTTTGGGAAGATGTTGCCGAATTGGGCTAAATGCATCATTGCTGTTGCAAAAAGCGTCCCTGTCGTTATTTTTTTTCCACAAGCAGCAGCTGATGTTACATTATTTTAGCAGCTCCTCTTCCCTCCCTTTTCGATTATGATAGAAAAGAAAAACACCTTGAAACTCTTCTAAGGCCGCGCCCCCCTCCCCGCCCCCCATTTAGCAAATAACGTCAGATAGCCACCCTTCGCAAATATGTGGGCAATAGGGGCAGTCCTCGACTTCTGACCATTTGTTTCGGAGTTAACAGCAATGAAAAAAGTGATCTCTCGGTTATGACTGTCGCGGCATCCCCAGAATCGCGTGTTTAAAATTCGGACGCTTGGCATGTATTTAGAGTGATCGTAGTGCCCTGGGGGCCTGTCATCGCCACTGGTGACCTTTCCAGCTACAGTCCGACAAGCACAATCAGTGGGGGAAGCCAGATTAACAACCGTTGGCAGACTTAACAACAGCGACGATTTGCTTAACAACATGGCGAGAAAGGTCGTAAAATCGGATGTGGTTCACTTAAAACGACTGTCTTGATTAGCAACAGAATTTCTGGTCCCAATTGTGGTTGTAAGTTGAGGACTTCCTATAAATGAAGAATAGCTGTCCGACCAATGTCCGTGTTTACAACCTTTGCTGTATCTCACTCAGAATTAGCAGAATAACAGTTGGAAGGGACCTTGGAGGTCTTCTAGTCCAACCCCCTGCTCAAGCAGGAGATGCTATAAGATTTCAGAATAACAGAGGTGGAAGGGACCCTGGAGGTCTTCCAGTCCAACCCTGTGCCATTCCAGTCCTCTGAGTTTGCCATTACAGTTAGTTAAACCGGTCTCGCGTATAACCTTCTCTTAGTTTTCACTTGCTTATTTACTATTTACGCGCCTTTGTACCCCATACCAAGATGTCTTCAAAGGCCAAGGAGCCCACTTCAGATGAAGGAAGTAGCGGGGAGCAAAGGAAAGTCAATGCCCACGATGCCGGGAAGAAGATGGATGAGATAAAAGAAGAAGTGCTGGCCTGTTCTACCATCCCGGTCATTTTGAAGAACAAGATCAGAAAGGAGAGTAAAAAAACACCAGGGATGAAGACAACGATAGCAAGTCAGCAAAAAGCTCTCACCCCCACAATTACGCCCCCTACTGAGATGCCTTCGAAGCCAGAGGACCTCACGACGGATGAAAGTATTAACAAGGATTCCGGAATTGGTCTCAGTCTGAAGATGAACAGCGTCGATGCCCACGATGCTGAGGTGGATGTGATAGCAGCAGAAGAAGACCTGACTTGTTCTACCATCTCAGCTAATTTGGAGAATAAGGAAGGGGCCAGAGAAGCCGTGAATGGCTCACCAAGGACAGGACAGCAAAAAGACCTCCCCCACACTTCTAGACCCCACACTAAGGTGTCCTCAGAGCGTAAGACCTTTAATTCAGCTGAAGGAGGGAGAAGGAAGCGAAGGAGGTCCATCAGTCTTGATCTGAAGATGAAGATCATCAAAGCCTACCGTGCCAGGAAGAAGGCGAAGATTATTGCCCAAGAGGAAGGTCTGGCCTATTCCACTATCTTCACCATTTTGAAAGATAAGAAAAGGATCCGAGAAGCCCTCAAGGTGTTACCAGGGACGAGAAAAATCATTACACAGCCACGGAAACGCCTCGTCCGCCCATGTATCACCCACACCAAGGCATCTCCAAAGCCGAAGACCCCCAGTTCCGCTGAAGGGCGTAGCAAGAAGCAAAGGACGTCCATCAGTCTTGATGTGAAGATGAGGATCATCAGAGCATACGAAGCCGGGACGAAGGTGCAGGTTATCTCCAGAGAAGAAGGCCTGGCCCGTACCACCATCTTCACCATTCTGAGGGATCAGAAAAGGATCAAGGAAGCCATGAAGGAATTACCAGGGACAAGAACAATTATCACAAAACCACGGAAAGGCCACGTCCGCCCACTTGCACCCCTTACCAATGTGTCTTACAACCCAAATCCCACCCAGTTGCCCCCCATAACAAGGTGTCCACCTCCCCAAATCCCAACCAAGGTTTCTGCAAAGCCTACCGCCCACAGTTCAGCTGCAGGAATCATCAAGAAGCAGAGGACATCCATCAATCTTGATCGGAAGATGAAGATCATCGAAGCGTACGAAGGTGGGGAGAAGGCGTCCACTATTGCCAAAGAAGAAGGCCTGGGACACACCACCATCTTCACGATTTTGAAGGATGCGAAAAGGATCAAGGAAGCCTCGAAGGAATTGCCAGGGACAAGAAAAACCATAACAAGGCGACAGAAAGCCCTCGTCCCGCCCGTCCCGCCCCCTGCCGACGTGTCTACGAACCCAGAGACCCCCGCTTCAGCCGAAGGGAACGTCAAGAAGCAGAGGACGTCCATCGATCTCAACATGAAGATGAAGATCATTGCAGCGCATGAAGCCGGGAAGAAGGCAACTCTGATCGCCCGAGAAGAAGGCCTGGCCCATACCACTGTCTGGACCATTTTGAGAGATAGGAAGAAGATCAGAGCGCTGGCCAAAGGATCCGCAGGAACGGACACCACCATAACCAGACACCGAACGGGCCTCATCCACCAGACGGAACAGTTGCTGGTGCTTTGGATCGAGGATCAGATCCGAAAGAGGAACCTGATCAGCTTCCCTCGCATTCAAGAGAAGGCGCTCAGCATTTTCGCAATCCTGAAGGAGCGAGCCAGCGAGGCCTGGGCCCAAACCTTCGACGCCAGCCGCGGTTGGTTTCTGCGGTTTCAGCGAAGATTTAATTACCAAAACATACCCACCAAGGGGGAAACCACAGGCCTTGACCAAGACGCTGCCCGACGGTTCCTGGACGAGCTTGATGACCTCCTAGCGGAAGGGGGTTATTTGCCTGAACAGATATTCAGCGTGGACAAAACCAGGTTATCCTGGAAACAGTGGCCAGAGGGCACCTACCTGCACCGAGGAGCCCAAGCTGTGCCTGGATATAAAATCTTTCACGACCGAATCACTGTGCTCTTGGGTGGAAATGTCGCCGGGTTCAAGCTGAAGCCGTTTCTTATCCACAAATCGGAGGGTCCGTTTGCATTCCAAAACCTCGTCCAGGACACCCTGCCCGTGTATTACCGATCCGGTCAGAAGATTTGGATGACACGCGCCCTCTTTGAGGACTGGTTGATGACTTGTTTCACACCCCAAGTCAAGGACTATTGCTTGCAAAAGACAATTCCTTTTAAAATTCTCCTGATCGTCAGCCACGCACCGGGACATCCCCTGCATCTGAATAATCTCCAGCCAGATGTGAAGGTGGTTCACCTGCCCAGAAACACCGGCCCTCTCCTGCATCCGATGGACCAGGGAGCTGTCACAGCCTTCAAGGAGTTTTATTTGCAGGCCGTCTTGACCGAAGCGATAGCCATGATGGAAAAGAGCAGGGTGAGCTTGAACGAGTTTTGGAGACGGTACGACATCCTCCGTTGCATGGGAAACATTGCAACGGCGTGGCAGGGTGTCAGTGTGACCTGCATGCAAGGCCTTTGGGGAAAGTGCTTAAAACGTTTTGCGGATCTCGTCAGGAACTTCGAAGGATTCGACCCTGACGAATATTTGGACCAAACAAACCAGAACATTTTGACCCTCTCCCAGGCCCTCAATTTACAGATTGATGCTGAAGCCGTGAAAAAGTGGGTAGCGTCTATGGAGGGAGAACTTTCCAATGACGACTTAATTGAACTAAGAGAAGAACTGTCCACCCAGCAAGTGATGGAGGAAGGGGAAGAAGAAGAACAGATAGAAATTAAGCCTAAAAATTTCACCATGAAAAGATTGGCTCGTGTTTTCTCGGACGTTGAGAAAATTTTATCAGAATTGGAAAAGATGGATCCAGACACAGAACGTTTTGAATGGGTACGTGAGAGAATCCTTGAAATCCTGCAGTGTTACCGCGAAATATATGAAGAGAAAAAGAGAAAACAGAATGCAAACGAAAATTAGTGAATTCTTTAAGGAAGTTAATTCAATCATTCCTCTCCGGGGATAGGAATAAAACATCCAGACAATTGTCAACCCTCAGCTATGTCAGCGTATCCGAAATTTTCAAAATCACAGAAAAAGACTAAGTTTGCTTTCATTCAAAAAACACTAATTTTGGGTTTTATATCTGGTTAGTTTTATCTTTACAGGTCCTACAATTGAACTGTTTTATTTTTTTAAAGCAACGTCATGATGGCCAGTTTTTACTTGTGTAATAAACTAACTTTTTTTTATGCTGAGATTCGGTTTAACCTTTTTGTTTTGAATTTAGGCTACTTTAGGCTAAAAACATGGCTACAGTGTTAAAACTTTAGAAATCTCGATGTCCTTTAAATTGTCATAACAATATGCAAAGTTTTGAAAGGTAGTAAATTATTACAGTGTATTTTTTAATCATAAAAATATGTTGGGATTGAAGAGATCTTTGAAGTAGAATGTTCAAAAGGTTATTAAAAATGTCCATTTTATGAAAAATAAAAAAAAATTGAATACAGAAATCTGTAGTTAAGTCATAATTGCAATGGTCACGCTTAGGCTACTGTAATTTTCACTTAGTGAACATTTCACATGTTGCAGTCACTAAATGAGGACTTACCTGTATTTACATTAAACAGCCTTCAGAGACCTCAACAGAATTATGCAGGCCACTTTAGCTGACTGTGTTCAGCAGGTCAATGGTTCAAATCTCACCGGCTCAAGGTTGACTCAGCCTTCCATCCTTCCGAGGTAGCTAAAATGAGGACCCAGATTGTTGGGGGCAATGTAAATATACACACACACACACACACACACACTGCTTACTGGTGTACACCGCTTAGAGAGTGCCTGCACTTAAAGCGGTATATAAGTCTCATAAATAAATAAATATTTATATGTCAAGCCCAACTATTTTTTAAACCGGCCTTTTTTCACAATACTAACGATGGGTTATTTACCAAATGATCCTTTTATTGGGGAAAACTGAACACGATTCAAAACCTTCAGTCTAGATCAAGGGTAGGCAACCTCGGCATGGCTGACTCAGGAATTCTGGGAGTTGAAGTCCATGAGTCATAAAAGAGCCGAGGTTGCCTACCCCTGGTCTAGACTGATAGGGCCTCCTGCTTGAGCAAGGGGTCAGACTAGAAGACCAGCCATATTATTCCATGTTCTATAACAGTGATGGCGAACCTTTTAGAGACCAAGTGCCCAAAAACTGGCCCCGCCCCAGCTCCACCCCTTGCCCCGCCTGCCCACAGGGCCACTCACTGCCTCCAGGGCCTGCTGCAGATCGCCCAGGCAGTCCAGCAGTGCCATGGCGGCCACACCCTTTGCCCGCGCCCTGCAGTATTAACTGATGGGGTGTGAGGGCAGAGTCTTGTCTGTGCTGCCTGGCTGCCATGTCCTTAGCTGCGCTGCTCCATGTGGGCCACACTCAGGGCTGACTCTCCTCCAGGGGGGCTGCTGGAGAGGAGGGGGTCACGGGGAGGTGAGGCTGGGGCAACCGCACATGTGCCCACAGAGAGGGCTCCGAGTGCCGCCTCTGGCACCCAGCCATAGCTTCGCCACCACTGTTCTATAATATCATCCAAACGGCCCTTAATCACACTTCTAGCCAGCACTTCGTTCTTAGAAGAACTGCCATATTGATGTGTATCGGTAGTGTTTACTTAGTGGCTTCCTCATTCAGCAAGCATTTGAAGTTATGACATCACTGCAAAATGAGTGTTATGTCTGCTCCTTAGATTTGCAGCCATCACAGTGTCTGCAGCCACACAATTGCCATTTGGGCGGTTAGCAAACAGCACCCATTTACGATGGTCACAGCGTCCCGTCCTCACGTGATCGCCATTTTGTTGTCTTCCCCTGCCAGATTCCAGCAAGTAAAACCAGTGGAAAATCTGGCAGGAATTTCTAAATCGCAGTCATGTGATGTCTTACATAACGAACACCATTACTGTTATTGTAAGTCAGTTACAGTAACATCACACTTCACTTATCAACTTGTCCCCCTTGGTGACGGAGTTTCTAATCCCAACTGCCATCATAAATGAGGACTGCCTGTATCTAGTTCCGTGTTGCTTAACGTTGGGCATAGTACAGGTAGTTCTTGATTTAGGACCACAACTGAGCCCAAGATCTCTGTTGCTAAATGAGACATTTAAGTGAGATTTGCCTTATTTTACAACCTTTCTTGTCACAGTTAAGCAAATCACTGCTGTTCTTAAGTTGGTAACACAGTTGCTGAGTGAATCTGGCTTCCCCAAGGAAGACGATTACAAAAGGGGATCGTGGGACACGGCAACAGTCATAAATAAATTTTGATCACACGACCATGGGGATGCTGCAACAGTCATAAGTGTGAAAAACGATCATAAGTCGCTTTTTTCAGAGCCATTCTATCTTAGAACAGTCAGTAAACAAATGCTTGTAAGTCAAGGACTCCCTTTATTTACATTCATTGGAGAGAAAGGGATTATAAGAGAGTAAGCAAGCACACAATAGGGAACACACATTGAAAGGAACACACTAAACGTTGCCAGCCACTGGAAGGATCAATTTAATTGATTAAGGTCAGAGATCTGACCATATTAACCACTGGATAGCATTTTTCAGAGACTCACTGCACTATAAACAAAAAGCAGCTCTGGAAGAAATATTTCTTAGGTCATGTTCCCACTGTGTGGGGTGGGAAGAGAGAGAAGCCAGTCAGGCACAGGACAATGCCTATTAACTAACTAATGGCAGATTTATGACAGATGGAGTGATGGCCATAACTCTTTGAGTGTTGGTCGTGAAGTGGCTTTTTTATCAGTTGTAACCACAACCAGCCTCTGCCCAAGGCAGACAGCTAAGTCAGCTCTGCTAAATGAGGACCAACAATGCAGGACCGAAGGACACCACCACACCTGATCCTGAAGGATAACATTCCCCTTTGGCCAAGCAGACGGGTCACTGGCTAACATACAACAAACAAATAACAAAAGTTCTCTCTGGTTTGACTTCCTTTTGACCTTTATCCAATCCATCGCCACCTTCAAGAACTGAATTAAAATTCTCCTTGCCTGTTTCACCCTAAGTCTCGAGCTGGGACTAACAAATCATGGTTACTGTGTTCACTTATTAATGATGGCCTGTGTGAAGGAGTGGTTGGTTTCCACCACATCTTTGAACTGCCGTTGCATTCAAGTTGAGTTGCATCTTGGGTTAAGTTGGACAGTCCTCTATTTAAATCAAACCTGGGTGCCCTTTGGTGGTGGTATCTGATAGAACAAGGTCTCCAAACGCGGCCACTTTAAGACTTGTGGACTTCAACTCCCAGAATTCCCCAGCTTGGAGACCCCTGTAATAGAACACCCCAAGAGAACATTTTCTGCTTGTTTGTCCACATCAGAAACTGATTCTGGAGGACAAGCCAGGTGTTAATCTGGATTGGATTCTGTAGGAGCCATTCCATCAGCCGCTTTAATCGAATTGGATTCTACACATTCAACTTGAGCCCAAAATTTCTGTTGTTAAGTGGGGACATTTGTTAAGTGAATTTTGCCCCATTTGATGACCTTCCTTGCCCTGGTTAGTAAGTGGATCACTACAGTTGTTAATGTTAATAACACGATTGCATCCAGCTTCCCCGTTGATTTTGATTGTCACAATGTCACCAAGCCGGGATGCTGCAATTGTCATGAATAACAAACAGGGTTGCCATATGTTTGAATTTTGCTTATGTGCCTGTGGGGATGCCCCAAATGTTTGTAAGTCAAGCAGTCCTAAATCACATTTTTCAGTGCCGTTGTAACTTTGAACAGTCGCTAAATGAACTATTGTAAGTCGAGGATGACCTTGTAATCCAGTTAGGAGCAGTTCTAACTCCGTGGCCTAATACAGAGAGGAATCTAAGACGTCCAGCCTGGTCCTCCTCTCGCAGAAGATCACCCCACCAAGGGGCCAACATCTGTTCCACAGTGAGAAACTTAGTTGGCAGAGGCTGCCAAATTGAAATCTCACCAGATCGTAGTAACCTCCTTTTGTCATTTCAAAGGCGACAATTGTGATGATGATATATATAGATATAGATATATGTTTTCTGAGGTTTTCGCGTGTGTTTGTATGTAGGTCTTTGGTTATTCGGGTTTTCTCCCGCGTAAAATTGGAAGTGTCTTTGCGACGTTTCGACGAAGTCCCATTCATCATCTTCAGGCTGGTGTTTTCAGCTTCATGCTTCGAGGAGCAATGTGTTTCTTCCTTTTAACTGCCAGTTAAAAGGACTGGCAGTTAAAAGGAAGAAACAGCTAAGACCACACATTCGATGGGACTTCGTCGAAACGTCGCCAAAACACTTCCAATTTTACGCGGGAGAAAACCCGAATAACCAAAGACTACACATACACACACACACATATATACACACACACACACACACACATACACACACACACACACACACACACATACATGATGTGGACTCACAAGCAGGAGATGTTCTCTTGGAGTGTTCTATTACAGGGGTCTCCAAGCGTGGCCCCTTTTAACCCTGCTGATCCTCATGATCTCATCCTTTTTTTTCTTTTTTAACTGAGGTTCCAGAAAACGGTTTGGTCATCTTCTCCTTTCCTTCCCTCCCTCCTGCCCCCCCCCCACCCTTTTCTTTCTTGTTTAAAGAACACCCATTCCCAGGCCTGTTTGAAGTCCTTCCTGGAGTGCCACGGCCTGTCCCTCCTCTGGATCTGGATGGCAGAGCTTGGGGACAGCAGAGGAAACACAGCCAACAGTCTGAAACTGCAGCTGGAGGTCCGTGGCTGGAATGGCATGGTTGCGCCTTGATGGGAAGGTGTTGAGATGAACGAAGGAGCCAAAGAGGGGGATCCTTGATGGTTTGCTTACACACGTTTCGTGGCCCAACTAGCAAACATGATCAGTGCTAGAAGGAATGGAGTAGAGGAGAAGAAGAAGGGGGAGAGAAGGACTGTGGGGTCCTTGGTGCTCTCTGAGCTACGTTCGCTTGCAGACGTCTCGTGACCCATCTAGGAACATCATCAGTGCTAGAAGGGAGGGAGGTGCAGGGAAGAGGAAGGAAGGAAGGGCTGTGGGGTCCCTGGTGCTCTCTTGAGCTGGGTGGTTTTCTTGGAAATATTTTACGACCCAGCTAGGTAACATCATCAGAGCTAGCTGAAGAGACCAAAGGAATCTGTTTTCCATTTCCCACGTTGCATCACGCCGTTCCACCTAGCATCATTTTCTTCGCTCACAGTGACACTTAGGATCACATTTTTAAGCGGGGGGGGGGACTTTGCAGAATCGGTTGTGCAGATCAGATCAGTCCTTCTGAGAACACTTTTAATTCCCCCTCTGTGGGCAGAGGCTCACTTGAACGTGGGAAAACAGTTGCATTTGACACGTAAGCGGCCTGAAGTTTTAAATTAATCTCAGCTGAGAGGCCTTCATTTAATCTTTTTTTTTTTAATGCTTTCCATTATTCAGTGTTTAACACTGCAAAAGACATTTCCCGATTTGGCTGTCATACATTAATTTCAAACTACATTACAAATTATATGGGAATAGCTGGCCATAAAGCAGATTATTTTCAGACTTTGAGAATTAGGAATTAACTATAGCTCCATTCTCAATGTTTGCTGTGACGTTCAACATTAGTGTATCTTCTAAAACGTTGCTTATAGTCAAAAACTGGAAGCCATTTTTGGACTTCATAGGACTTTAT